TTAAGATTACAGCGAGGTCTAATCAAGGTCTTACTTGAAAAGGCTTGTCACGTGCTTCAATATTTCCCAAATGAAAAATCAGGAGTCCTCCTACAAGATCCCCCCTTATCACAGCCCTCCCACTGATCTGTTTGAGGGTTCTCAAAAGTCAAAGCAACCAACTGGGCGCCCCAGGCCGGTTTATCTGGGAAGCTCTGAACGAGACATCAGATCCAATACAGACATGTGCACCCGTGTCTATCCTGACAGCCTTCCCACCACTGAAGGGAAGGGACTGCTGGTGCCCAGCTCTTCCACCAGCTAGAGAAAAACTGCCCCGGAAAAAACTGTTCTCCACTGACTATCAAGGGAGTCACTAGTAACCAACTGAGACGGAGATACCTGCTCTGCAAGTACTGAAAGGCAGAAGGGGAAATCACACCCCGATACTTGTCTTAAAGTGACTTGAAAAGGCTGCACGGTGATTCCCCTGGAGCAACCCCAAGAAGGAAGCGAGAGAAATTAATGACCACACACCTGCGTGGGTGGGTTTTGTTGCTTTATTTTCTGCGTGTGAAATATACGGCAGTTCCGAGAACTGGTGATTTTTACACAAATCCAAAAATCCAGTAAGTTTTGAATCTCACATGTAGTAGTGCATGTAGTAAAGTAGTAAAATATGCTTGTTATTCAGTAGTAAAAGAAGGAGCACGTATATTGCACCCCAGCACCAGCTGCCGTTTTCATGACGTTATTTTGGAAGTTTATATAATGGTAGCCTGCTACAATGGAGGCCTCTGGGATTATGATAAAAAAAAGTGACAAAGCTCAGTTCTTGCTCTGACTTACCCTTCTCAGAAAGCCTCCCTTCCACCTGCTATAGGGGGAACCCACAGACTACAGTGACTAGGTCAGATACCTGAAGTCAGTGAGCATTTACATTCTTGTTACACTATGTTTGTACAGCAGGTTTTACTTCTGCCTGTCATTCTAGGTTTGGTGGAAAACTGGCAATCCTAGAGTAATTTCTGTTGCAAGGGACCTCATGCTGCAAGGGAAGCCATCCAGTCAAAATTCCTGTTCAAAACAGATCAACTAGACCAGGCTGCTCAGGGTTCCCGCTCCAGGGCCTGACCATCTCCGAGGTGAATATTTCCCCCTTATATTTAAAGAGAATTGATCATGTTTCAAACTGTTCTCATGTTTCCAACTGTGACTGTTGCATCTTCTCCACACGCTCCCTTGAGGCTGATGAAGACAGTGGTGCCATGAGCACATCGCACAAGCCCGGCTTGCTCAGCCTCTCCTTGCATGGTCCACACTCCACCCCTTGGTTCATCACCAGGAGAAACTGCCAAAGTTTCCACTGGGTTTCTGGGAGTTGAGGGAGCAGAATGGCCCCCCCAGAACGGAGCCTGCAAAACCACTACAGAAAATGAAGAACTATAAAGCAGCGTTTCTGTCATGGATGTGCAGGAAGTGGATGAGGATGGGAGGAACAAGGCACAAAAAGAGGAAGCCTGCCACGTGCACACCGACCCCGAAGATACATTAAAATAATGTGTCTCCAAGTAAGCCAGCTCCTCCAAAACTGTTAAACAATAAATGAAAACAAAAGAAAAGCCAATGTCTTTGGCAAACAGGCATCTGTATCATGGTGTCACAACAATCACTTATGTTCTAAATTATTTCCATGTCTTCGCACGGAAGTCTCCTGATTCTCCAGAACACACACGCTATAAATAGTCTATAGTCTAATTTTACTGAAATGACTATTCACAGTCAGGAAATAACAAGGAGGCCCAGGAATGTCTGCAGCTAATAATGTGGCAGGTACAAAGAGGAATTAAAGAACTGCAGTTTCTGCAGTTTTAGCATAAGTCACTCCCAGCTGTTTGAGGGAAGAGCACAGTCTCATTTCCCTCCAACACTTTGGGGAGAACTCATGTATTTTCTAAACACTTCTCAACACAGAACTATTGAGATTATATGAAATAGCACTTATTTCTGGTGCTAATTTAAGCACCAGTCTTTCTAGCTGCAATATTGTTGTCTGTGCTGCAGAGTTTTTTAAGAATAGCTTAGAAATAGAATTTTTAACTGCACCTTATTATCTACTCTCAGGTAACATTAGTGAACTTATGGAGCCTTAATTTAGAAAAAAATCCATTTCAATTCAAAAATCTTCTGAAATTGGATCAATTTTTTACCAATACATTTATTGTCAGATTCATCTGGACAAAGTATTTAGACCATAGCACAGAATCAAAGAAAGGTTGAGACAGGAAGGGACCTCTGGAGATCTTCTAGTCCAAGCCTCCTGCTCAAGCAAGGTCACCTGGAGTGCCTGGCATAGGATCCTGTTGTGAGAGCCTCTGAATATCTCCAAGGCAGGAGACACCACATCCTCCCTGGCCGACTTGTTCCAGTGCATGGGCACAGGACAGAGGTTTTTCCTTATGTTCATACAGAACTTCCTGTGTTTCAGTTCCTGCCCGCTGCCTCTCGTCCTTCCACTGGCCACGGCAGAGGAGTCTGGCTCTCCACACCCTCTGTTCAGGCAGTTGTTGATAAGATCCCCTCTCGGTCTTCTCTTCTCCAGAGTGAACAGTCCCAGCTCTCTGTGCCTCTCCTCATGGGGGAGATGCTGCCGTCCCTTAATCGCCTTAGCAGCCCTTTGCTAGACTCGCTCCAGGAGCTCCACATCTCTCTTGCACTGGGGAGCCCAGAACTGGACACAGATGCTGCAGCTCCAGGACCGAGCAGAGGGGGAAGATCATCTCCCCTCGACCTGCTGGCAAGGACATACTCTTTGGAAATTATTACTACTATATTTCATTCAAGAATTACATGCACTACCCTACAGAGAATTTTTGGTAGTCTGCAGAAATCCTTGCAAGAAAGTTTCAGACTGTGCTAGCAAGCTATGCAACAGCTGTCTAAATTCTAAGCATTCTTGCCTGTATATGTAACATATACACAAAATACAAAGCTAATCAAAACGGAATTAGAAGAGATTCAGGAAGAAGTATTTAGTGAGCAGAATGAAAATGAGGAAAGTGACTTGGCAGGGAAAAGAAAACGGAAGTGGAAATGGGTGAGGGGCAAAGGGAAAAGAGAAAAGCAGAAAGAACGACCTCAATGTGAACAGAAGAGAGTAAATAGGGATCCTAAAATGGAGAAAAGGAGAAAAAAAAATGTTTGTGTGGCACAAATCAACACAAAACTGCTGCTGACAGCTGTAGAGGATCGGGATCAGAGGATCAAGGGGCATTCCCTGTGGAAGAGACGAGACTGAAGACTCAAGGCTCAAAGAGCTGAAAACTCCAGTCCATTCCACCTTCCCAGAGACATCTGTTTGCACCTTGTTGCCTGTAGTCTTTGACAATCACTGTTTTTTTCTGTCAAATAGAAGTAAAAAGGCACAGCATATTTGAAAGCTCACGCTTAAATAAAATAATAATAAAATAATTAAAAAAAAAGTCCAGCTCGGGAACAGAAAAAGGCAATGCGTTATTGGTTTTAAGCCATGTCAAATCATATACTCTTTTTTTTCCACCAAAGCTGAAGTTATATTCTGAAAAATTACAAGGTTCTCGAAAGAAAGGAAATGAGTATTTCCTTCCCTGCAAAAGGAAGACAGTAAAACAGCACAAACATAATCAACAAACAAGACTGCACTGACTTACAAAGCAAAGCACTGAGGGCTTGATACAAATTTTCCTGAACTCTACATGAACTTTCCATTGGCCTCAAAAAACAAACAAACAAACACAAAACAAAAACCCAACTTTTAATCTTTTTAAATCAAGTCTGTGGAGCATTTCAGCATATAATCATTTCAGAAGTAGGCTACAGAAATACACAAAAATAAAAAAGATGCAAAATGAAACATGCAGAGAACTGTCTCGGGGCCTTAGCAAAAAGGTATCTATTTTATCCCCTCACATAAAACCACTCATACTGTTATTTTTACATACATGCAAAAAAGTTATTTAAATCGGCCATTATAACATGAGTCTGAAATGTGGCAAAAATAATGACCAGCTTTCTTGCCTTTGAGTAGACTTACATACAGATGCCATAAAATGTTTATGTACTTTACACAAGGGACAAATGCATATCGCAGTTAACACCTGTATTACCAAGTAGCCAAAACAGAACCCATCAAGTTAAAGAGGTGCAGAAAAAAATATATACATTATGAAATTGAGAGGCCAATCTGGGGAATTTGGAACAGCTTTACAACAAAAATCTACCTACTCCTTCTTCCCAAGTATGGCAAGTATTTTTCCCCTATAATGCTTTAACTATTACTTACATGTATGCCTTGCATCCCAACAAAAAAAACAAGCTTCCTCGATAAAACACAGAAAATATGCTGTTTTTCTTCCAGAAACACTAGATCTTTACAAGATTTTCTTGCAAAACCAGGCAGAGCCCTTCTTAAACAGCCAACTTACTGATGCCTTTGAAAGAAGAAACAAATGATAGACCTGTTTTCCTTTTTTCTGCATGCCAGAAATCCTGATTTCACCTTAATCACTGGCATGGACAGTGCTGCAGGAATGTCTCTCAAACATAAAGCACTGGAGCATTCCTGATACCTACTTTCTTGATGGTATTTCCAACTAGGTCTATTGGTAGGGTTGGATGGAGTAGCGCAAGGAGACGAATCCAACGTTTGCTGGAATAGGTAAAATAGTAAAGATTGTTCTCGAGTGTTTGGTTTGCAGTAGGATATAACAAAACACCAGTCTAGTTGCTATGTCTTATTTACTGCTGTGTGCTTTTTAAAAATGTAGGATGGGAGAAAAAGCAAAACATTCCTGTGAACCACTGCTGATCGAAGATCTAATAATACACAGGCCAGAGATACCAATTTACTAGATTATCATGGTATTCCTGCTGGTCACTTGATAACTGAAAATGCTACATTTTTTATTAAATCCTGGGAATCCCAGCTTACATCAAGAACTTCCTGCTCATTTTCTCCTTACTCTAAGCCCTCCTCTGTTTTGTTCAGATATACTCTGATACAGGTCTTCAGATACAGGTCAGTTGCTTTGCTTGCCTTCTACATCTGCTGATCCAATGGGCTCCAGAATCAGCCCTTCTGGGCCCACAAGCTGTTCTGTAGACATAACCTAGACCACTAGAACAAAATAAGTTTCTAAGCCATTCTAAGCTAATTCATTGGAATTAAATTCATTATTCATTCAATTCATGCTACATTTTTACAGTTCATATTCCGCATCTATTGTAGAGCTAAGGGGAAATGAGCAAAGCAGGAACCAACAATATACACTTACTAAGTTTTGGGTTGGGAGGGAAACAATTTACTTCTCCTTCTGTACCTGTTAAATAGCGAGAGACAGAATAATCAGGGGCACACTGTTCCTGCTGTTCCTGTCCAGGAGCAGCATGATATCCTGGCATTTTGTCTATTTGTAGGAGGGTTTGGGTCTGTATTTCCAGCGCAGAAGCGGGTCCTTGTGCAACACATCTCCCCGCACAGCAGATTCCACTTGCCTCTCTACAAGCAGAGCGGGAAGTCTGCCCATACTTTGTATATTGAAGGACCATAAAACCAAAATTGCATAGGGTAAGGAGCAGCCAAAGAAACCACATTCAGTTCTAGGCTGGCTGTTCTGGCATTTGTCTGCAGAGCAGTGGGAACTGAATGCCTGTTGCTGCAGGAAAGCCAAGGCTTGAGCCTGCCCAGCGAGGTCAGGGATTTACCACATCCCAAGAACATCCCAACTTCTGCACATCCTGCACTTTTGCTGCAGGACAGCACAGCTTTTATGGGAAGTAGAGTCTCCGCTTGGAACCAACCCAGCAAAGGAAATGCTAAAGGAACAACAGCCCTTTTGTCATCATGTCGTGTACACCCAACAACAAATACTGTGATTTATGGCCTGCAGTACCAGTTGAGATTGTGAAGCATTTTCATATCACATGAATATGAATCATATCAATATATGAATATGAATCATCAATACATGTTAGTGAGGATCTGGGGGCTCAAGGAGGAGTTTCTTTTGTGCTATAAGATACAAGCTCTGTGTTGTAAGGTAGGAGTTTTAATCACCATCCATCTTGTAAAAGCCAAAAAATGGAAAAAAAAAAGCTAGTGATAATAAACAGTCTAGTAGAAAGATGAGAAAAAGAAACATATAAAGTCCATATACATATAGTTAGTATACTCAGAATCACCTTTGTGAGAATCAAAAAAGGTTAAGGTAAAGTTGTGCAGATGGCTCTGCAATCAATCAGAAAGGAGTTTAATGAGACCCAGGGGATAAATGCTGGAGTATAAACAACATTATTCCTGACAAAGACAGGGGGATTAAACAATTAGGGCTAATTGGGCTTACATTCAGGGTTACACTCTGCAAAAACAGGGTCAGAAAAAGACCCCGGAGCTAACTAAAGGATAGAGTTTTCATTATATTTGGTTGAAGTGCTTAAAAATTTTACATTAAAAATATTACTCTCACATGGAAATCGTGTTTAAGCTAAGCCATGACTTAATGAAGGAGCTACAAAACAATGTTCTCCTATACAGTTAAAATCTAGGCAGATGTGAATGTTTCCTTCTAGTCTTTTATAAAAGCTTTCATTATTTAATAGTGTAAAACATAGACACACTATGAAAGCAGGCATCAAAAATTCAGAATAAAGTGAAGGTGTCAGGAGGCCTGCATGGATGAACAAGGAGGTCCTGGCTGAACTCAGACATAAAAAGGAAGCCCAGAGGAGGCTGAAGCAGGGTTGAATCACCCAGGAGGAATACAGGGACACTGTTCAAGTGTGCAGAGACGGGTTAGGAAGGGCAAAGCCCATCTGGACTTGAAGCTGCTGGGGGACGTTATGGGCAATAAGGAAGGCTTCTACACATGTATCCACACCAAAACGAAGACCAGGGAAAATCTGGGTCCGCTGTTGCATGAGGTAGGGGCTAGTGACAAAGGACATGGAGAAGGCCAAGACAGTCAATGACTTGTTCTCCTATTCTTTCTGGTAAGATTCACCTTCAGGAATCCCAAGCCATGATGAACAAATAATCCCGGAAACCATTTCCACACAAGGTGGCGATTGGGAGCAATCCACATGGATTTACAAAGGAGAAAATTATGCCTAACCATCTTGATAGTCCTCTATAACAAGATGAGTGGCTTGGCAGATGACAGGAGAGCAAAAGATGTTTTTTCATGACTTTAGCAAAGCTTTTGACACTCTCATAGCATCCTAATACAATGGACTAATAGACACCTGCTTGAGCTTGACAACAGGAAATACAGTCCTGCCTCTGAGGGAAATAACTCCAGGCTGGTGGCCAACCAGCTTTGTGAAGTAGAGGACCTAGGGGTCCAGCGGCAACAAGCTGGCCATGAGCCAGCAATGAGACTTGGTGGCAAAGAAGGCCAACAGCGCCCTGGGCTTCCTGAAGGCAGAGCACTGCCAGCAGGTCAGGGAGCTGGATCTATATGGGTGCTATATGGGTGACTGAATTGGAACAGGTTGCTGAGGGATTCTGTGGGATCTCCATCCTTAGAGATATCTAAAAGCTGCCTGCACAAGGTCCTGAGCAATGTACTGTGGTTGACCTTGGACTAGACAGTCTCCAGAGCCGTCAACCTCAGCAACTCTGTGAAATGTCATTCAAAACTTATGTTCTTTCAATGGAATCCCTTTTGATCTCTTTCACAGTTTTTTACCTCAGGTACCTATTCGTTTGGGCTCCCCTGGGCGTCCTCCCACTCACAACAGTCACTAAACTCTGCACCCCTTCCTTTTTATCAAGGCTGTCCCAGACTTGGAGACTTCAGAGATTCTTTAACTGTATACAAAAAATGCTACACAAAGGATACATGCTTTTGAATTTCACAAGAAATATTCAGACATCTGGCTCAAAAAAATATGTTTGAATATATAAATAATTGCAATAAATTCCACAGAATGACTTGCCTGTTTAGATTTAGAAAAGAATTTTAGTATATTGTAGAACTGGACTCTTAACATGGATGAACCAAACAGATGTGCTGTTGCCCCTGAACACTCACCAAAACCAGTGCAAGCACTAAGAACCAAGCAGGCTCTGGATCTCTATCAGGGTGGTATTTTCACCACAAACACCATAACCACAAGTCTGTATTCTCCATATTAATATTAAAACAACCCCTAAAACTATGTCCACCACAAAGCAAAACCAAACCAAAGCAGGTAAGCACGGGAAGAACTCTACAGAGTTATTAACTAAAAGCAAGAATCCTAGAAGAAAACCTTTCTCAGAAGAGCACATACGATGTTTATAGTAAGTTAGTGCAGACTGCCTCAGCAACAGCTAAATCTGCACTATCAAACGAATACAGGCAAGACTGGGAAAACTTTTCAAACTAGAGAAATTTGAAGCTGATGACATAGCCAAGGGCTCTGATTTACCATTTCTAGTCAAACAGGATACCACGTTTGGCCCTTGGCAAAGGGAATCCTACCTCTGACTTCAATGCTTACTTCATTCTCTGTTTCTACACTCCTCAAGTAGCCAGTGTAAGAGGGAGGGCTAAACAGCACTAAAATCAACTACCAGGGATGAAGCCTTAACTAAAAATCACAGCAGTGATTAAACCTTCTGGTTTACTGAAATACAGAAATCCAGGACACTCAGATTAATGTATTACAGATCTTTAATGAGATTAAACTTCTTTTCTTTTCCCTTTTCCTTGAAATGAAAACAAAACCAAAAAGGGAACATTCATCACCATAAAATATCTGTTGTACAGAATTTATCATTTATACCATAAAATGTTATCCTGCTGTCAAATACCAGGTGTTTATAGTGTTACATGTTGGTTTACCAAGAAAAAAAATGTGAAGTAAAAATAATAAAATTTGCAAACCTTTAGGCCTTTCAACATCTGATACACCAGGAACTGGATTCGGTCTTCAGTCAGTTTCTCATGCTTCATTATCTTACTCAAGTCCGTTCCCATAAATGGCATGACTAGGTAGCTTTCAAAAAAGAAGTACAAAATAACTACAAATTTGTAAAATAAATTGAAACATAAGTCAGTTCAGTGACATATTTCAACGGCAGATCATTCTGTTTACCACGTAATTCTACTCATCTCTCCCTTCCAAACTTCTCTCTTTTATTTTTAAGCTATTTTTTTGATTGTCATTAATAGGCATTATACAACCATGCCACTGGTGAGGGAAAGTTGCTAATTATCAGAAGAGCAGAGCCACATGACACTTCCCAGATACCTGCACAGAAAACTAAGATATTCATACAGTGCTATTTATCTTACGACCATGACCATAGGGTTGGTGGAGTAGTGGATCTTAGCAACAACAAAACTGATTAGGACGTTCAAATAGACAAGGTCAGATATACCAGGAACAGAGTTCATCATATTAAGATTCCACTAATTTTCATCTGGGATTGTAAAATCCTTAAAATTTGGTAATTCTTATTGGTGGTAATGGACATGAGCAAGAGAAAACTGGAGAGTGTCAAGCTGCCATTTCAAGGACAGTCTCCACACGCTGCTTGTAGTAATCTCGGAAAACCTCCTGAGAGCCATGTCTAGACCCAGATAGAGCAAGGCGCATGCCTGGCATCTAAAGAGAAAGTCATCAGATTTCTTCTTATTATATAAAAGCAGATGCATTAAGAATTAGATGTGATCACTCTTTCATGAGGATATGTTTTATTAATTTGCCTTAAATGGATTCCTTTGGTTAAAGTATGCAAATTTTAATTATGCTGAGTTGTCTCATTAGAGCTGTGTAAAATCTTCATTTGCTGTGTTATAATTGTGCTGCAAACTAAATAGATATTAAACACAAAGCCAGAGGAAGATGGGATACTTATTTAGTCACGAAGAGTTACAGAGAGTATATTCAAAATTCCCTAGGTACCCAGCCTTGTTCTCATCACTTGGGCTATGAGGACTCCGGCTCCCAATCCCAGCACTCATAGACAAATCTGCTATCCTTTTGGATAGAAAATAAGTGAACTTAATTTAGTAACTACAAAAGACAATAACAAATATGGTCTATGAGAAATGAAATTTCTTATCTCTGCCCAAGTATATGACACTATGCTTCGCATTAACAAAGCAAATTACTTGGAAAATGCAGTTTAACTTCTGCTTTGTTGACATCTCTGAATCTTGAAGGTATATTAAATTCTACCCCTACCCAAACTTAAAAAATACATTTTTCAAGGGCCATAAATATATGAAATGACTTAGAAAAAGAATAACAAAACAGAAGCAATAAGATGTGAGGTGAGAGAGGTCCCTTCCAACTTCGACCATTCTGTGATTCTGTGTGAGAGACACAGTGAAATATCTACATGTTTTATACTGCTGGTGGTGCCCTTGAAGCATCCATAAGCAATTTCCTTAGACTGCCATCATCTTTGTAAATCCTATGGCTCTGGATGGGCAGTGATGTACCTAACCAGAGAGATCCCAATGCAATCTATACCCATAAAGTCATGTAAATAGCAGGAAGGGAAGGATAAATAAGAGGGCATTTTTATGCATGCACTATTTGATGAGTTTACAGTTTGCTGACTTTTAATTTCTAGTAGTCGAGATACGAAGAACAGCAGTATGGGAAAACAACAACAAAAACAAAACAAGAGATGAAAAAAAAGACACTCCTATTTGAGTTTTAAAATCCAAAATTTATTAACACTTTATGAACAACATTGGGACAGGACAACAGTGGGATCGAATACTATGGGCATCTATACACAGAGGAGAAAAGGAAGAAGAAAAAAGAAATCAGCTACATTATAACATGTTCTAAAGGAGCTTCATCTTTTGATCTAGAGACTTCATCCAGGCCTATGTGGGACACAGATTTGTGAATGTGAAGCATTACTGTGGCTGGATCACAGCAGCTGCAGTTCTCATAATTTATAATTATATTATGGGCATTTAGAAGTGTGGTAGCTACCTATGGCTTCCTTCTGCAGCAACAGGAGTTACTGCAGAAAGAACATTATCATCACTAGCAAACATAGGGTTTAAATCTTTCTATGCAAACAGCTCTCTCAGAGCTGAATTGGATAAAAGTTACCTGTTCTTTTGGGTTATGGCTATGTTAAATTTTTCCAGCAAATCCTTCACTGACAGTAAGGCTCACAACAACAGTCTAACTAAACCATTTCAGTTCCACACTTTGCCTAAGGGATTTCTGAAATTTTCTACCATGCTATAAATCCCGTAGAGTTTTCCTGGGGGAAAGGAAGCAGACTCTTCCAAAAGAGTCATCTTTAAGATAAATTCAAATAAGCGAACTCCCCCACAAAAGGGGGAGTGAGTATTGTGAGTATTATATAACTGCGAGTATTATATAATGTGGCTCCATGCCATGTTGCAAGGAAAAACTTGAGGTCTCAAACAAGAACATCTCTAGGGACTGACTGTGGTGAAACCACCTGCCTCAGCCCTGCTGCTGCTAGACACAACTCAGCTTCAATTTGGATCTTTATGTAACAGGTGACAGATGAATTCTAAGGACTAGCCAGCAAAAAGGAGGTCTCTCTCAAGCAACTCTCTTGACCTCCAATCCACACAATAAATGCATCTTGCTCCATCTTGCTCATATCCACAGCTTACCAAAAGTCTTGAAAACGCATTTAGCCACAGCTCTACCTGTTGCATATTTAGTTATAACAATGTCCCTCCTATTTGACTTGCTCTTCTTGAGGATGAATTTTGGTTTATATATATATATATGCATATATATATACACACACACACACACACATATAATAATTTACATTTAAAATGAGCTCTTTGAATGCTAATCTTGTGTAAGCGTGTTGTATTATATGTTATCTAATGCTAGAATGATAGGCAATATGGACAGCAAAATTCTTGTCTCAAAGGTCTAAACAAGATATAAAATCCAATGGGAAAGATGATCTATGGCTTTTGTACTTCATTTTCTATCTTTTCTTGTTAGATAACCTTGTATATTCATAGGTTAACAAAAAATGGCTTTGAAACATTAAACTACACTAGAGGAAATCCAGAACAGTCCTGTAACATGAAAGTTATGCAACAGGATCGCTGTTTTTCTAGTGAATCAAGTTCACGAGAATTGTAGCAAGATCCACTGACAAAACATGTATGCTGAACAGCTGCCTGAGCTGCTGTCGAAAGGCCAGAGAGAGGCACGTGCCTCGGGCCAGAGGCAAACTCTGCTGCGCACGCTGGGTCGCGCGGTTCTGCGGGGATGGAGGAGGGAGCACAAACCACCCTCAGCAGGATGCAGGCAACTGCAGAATGGGCAGTCTGCGACATAATCACAAGAACAGCCACAAAAAACAGCAGTTTTGACTTAATCCCAAAACTGGGATGGATCACGCTGGCGGTGTGTCATGTAGCAGTCACCATTTTCAGACTTGAGAAGGGTATTTTTGTGATTCAGACTTGAAAACGATGACTGCTACATGACACACCGCCAGCGTGATCCATTCTAGCTCTAATTTGAGGCAGGGGTGGTTCTATCACTTGGTGGTTCTGGGCTTCAGGATAAGAAATCAATACTTCAAAAGAGGATTAGGGAATTCATTAGACTGCAGTTTACTAACGATTGAAAGAACTACACATCTTGTAAGACAGGCAACTGGCTCCACTAACAATCTGGAAACCTCAGCATACCAATCTTAGGCAGTACACAAGACTTGTATTAAAACAGAATTCAGAAAAAGCCATGAAGTGACTTTTTTGGAATTCTCCAGGATAAAAAAAGGCAAACAAGCCCTTCCCCCAGATGAGCAATAACTCCTGCTCCCAAATATAAACAACACAAAACTCACAAGTCATTAAATTTCTCCAGTGTTACATCTGGTGTGAATACATCCAATATTCCAATGACCTAAAAATAAGGGGGGAAGAGGGAGAAAAGATTAATATTGTCTTAACACAAGAATTCCCAAGCTGCATGATGAGTAACAAAACATAATCAAAAACATTTGTATAATACAACATTAATTATAGGCATGCAGACAGCAGAAAGAATATTTAAAGTAGTGCTTAGCACTATCAGGCTTTGTTGTGTGTTAAATTTTACAGCTCTGAGGACCATGCAACACAGTGGTAAAGAAATAAATATTATATTTATTTAAATAAAAAGTTCAGAGATTAACAATTTTAATGAAGAGGAGAGAGTACATTTTAACTTGAACCACTTAAGTACTGAAAATAAACCAGAAAACCAGCTAATACTGTGAAGCAGTCTAAGTGTTACTTAGCAAGCTGGGCCCATTACCTGACAATACCAAGGATACCAAATGTTTCATGACTCCTTCTAATTTCAGTTATGGGGTAATTTAGGTATTTGGATTACAATCTCTAAATGGTTATGTAGACATGCAACTGGGGCTGAACTCTCTATAAAAAGAGTAAATTATCAAGAACTTAATATGCTTTGGCTTAGGTTCTCCCTAAGAGCATTTTGGGTCACACAAATGCATTCCATTACCCAGCAGAGAAGTTATACACTAATAAAACAGGTTTCCCATCACAGATTTTTATGTTTCTCAATAGAACTATACCAACTAAATTAATTATGACAACTGTCAATGCTTCTCCCCAAACCATCAAACATTAGTAAATTAAATATACAGAGCCAGATGCTCCAAAGCATGTAGCTGCAATGTAGGTGTCTAAAGCCAAATCCCTGCTCTGAGGCTGCCAACTCCAGGCAATGCCTAAATTTCCCAGGCATTTAGAGCTGCATCTTTTCAGCTTCCTACATTGCTCAGTCTTGACAAAACCCAAAGAGGCTCAATGTCTTGCTCAAATCCAAGCAATCAGGCTTGCAGGAATCCAGCAATCAGGCTTTCCTCTTAAGAAATCTGGTAGGTTGAACACATCGAAGACAGGCTTAGGCAGTCTCCCGAGTTGTTCCTTTCAGCCTAATATCTGAGCATTCAATCAGCAAACGAAAGGCCTAAATTGTATTCCCCCTTTAATCTGAAGGGATTGGGCCTTACACAGAGATATCCCATCTCAAACCACCAAGACTTTCCCAAAGGAGGGACAAAAGCAGATCTTGCAGATCTGACTGAAAATGCCACTATTGAGAACATTTGTGACCAGGCCACACACAGGACAGTAACCACTGCCTAATAATAAGGGTATTTATTTGCACATAGGGAAGACTCCCATATTCCTTATTCTAGCCACCTAGGCCCCAATTCCTGACAATTTCTGTTTACAACAGGGGAGCTAGCTGCTAATGAGAACAGCTGAAAGTCACGCTATAAAAAGTTACCCCAAATTTTTCCGTCTTCCTATTTCCAACAGATCTGTGCAGAAACTGCCCCAACAAATGGGGCAGTTTCTATATGGGAAAGAAAGCAACAGGAATGGAAATGTGAAGTGGACGTGATTATTATTCCCAAAAGTTTTATAACCTGTTTGACCTTATTCAAAGGTTAAACACATCTCTGTATTTCCATGGCTATGCAGCCTAAGGACACTGGATGAAACACCAAATCAAAGCTAAAACAAATGAAAGAGTAAAAGCAGTAAACAGTCCTCAGGAATGAACGCATAGCTAGCAGCATATTGCATAGTCGATATTATAGAAGAATGGTAAAATCTACTGAATTTCATAACAACGAAGATGCATTTTGGCTGTTATTTTGGGGAATAGTTAAGATACTTTAATAGAAATCTTTTGAAAGGGATGTGGAAGTAAGGGGAAGCGGGGTCAGAAATGCTGAAAAAAATGCAGGAAAAAGAAAGACCTTCTTTATGGAGAGCTTTAAATAAAAAATATCCAGTTGAGATGAAGCCCTTAGCACATATGTTTTTATCCTGTCCTCATTCAGGACAGGCTACATGCTACAATTAGCTTAGATATTATTGTAGCATTACCCAAGATAAAAATCTAATAAAGATGAAGACAGGAAGGTTACAACTCTCTATCTTGGTAGCTACATAGATCTGAAAAAAAATCACTAAGAATATTTTCCCTGGGATTTGTAATACGAAACCGATTGAATAACATATCCACCATAAAAACAATAATTAAATCCACAGAAGACATATGCACTTGCAGTTATTCTTTAGGGCTAACATTACAGAAAACATATTCTTTAGCATTTTGCATCAGTTTTGCATAAATCTAGTGAGCTTTATAAAATACCTAAAATCCACAATAGTAGGTCATACTAATAGTTAATCATTTTAAAAAATGGAAGTGAGGGACCCATTTCCTCTTCCTTGGTGATCTCTATTTAATAACTATGCTTTGGGATGATTTTCCTTTACTGGAAGAGTCATTATTATTTCCATTTATGTCACAGCTTTCTGCAGATACATTAACAAGAAGGAGGCACAGGATAAAATAAATGCTCTGAGGAAGATGCAACTCCAGCTACTTCTTTGGGAAAAGGACTGGACAGAGTGAAAGAAACTGCCCCCTCCATAAGATCATGGAAAATCCTGTATCTGTGGAAAAATCCTCTCTCTGGATTAAACTCAATATTTGTAAAAACTTCACTGTACTTAAAGATACTATCCCATCACAGAAGTAAACTAGAGTAAAACTACAAACTACAAGAATCATTTATTTTTCTTAATGGTGTGATTTATACAAAATATAACCGGGGCATCTTTCAGACATTCTGAAGTTGGACTTTGGGTGTTAATTCAGGCCATTTAATGTGAGCTGTGGTGAGGGCCCAGACAAGGAACAACATTTAATGGGACAGCGAGGAAAAACACCTGTGGAAACACGGCAGGGCTACCCTCCTGTGGTCCCCCTTTCTCTTTTTTTTCCCTTTTAATTATACTAAAAGACAAATTCTAGAGTGAAGAAGCCCAGCAGAATTTTGTATAACACCAAGCCACAGCAACAGCAAACCTACACTTCTACTGCTCTAACTTGTTTTACGCAGGATATGTTTTTACTCAAATATTTACTCAGTTTTGTCTCTTTCCTAAGAAGCTGGTGGGGAAGTGGTGGCAGTCAGGGCATTCAGTCCTTCTCCGCCCTCTCTCCTCCCGGAGCAATTTTAACTGCTGTCAGCTAGTAAATAACAGCTTTGTGTTTGCAAGGTAGTTTCTGCTCTTCACTTCCTCTTCCAAACCTGTTTGCATTAGTAGAACACATCAGTAAAAAGCTTCTAATCTCTATTCTCCCGTGCACCTTCATTTATTTGATTACTTGTATTCAAAGACTGTTCCACTGTGTTTCTATAAAGCAAAATTTTCTGCTGTAAGCAGCACATCAACCAAACACTCGGATTCTGTATAAATTAATAAGTAATGCAGCTTATGTCTCTTATACAGTAAGCAGCACATCAACCAAACACTCGGATTCTGTATAAATTAATAAGTAATGCAGCTTATGTCTCTTATACAGTAAGCAGCACATCAACCAAACACTCGGATTCTGTATAAATTAATAAGTAATGCAGCTTATGTCTCTTATACAGTAAATGCTTCGTTATCCTGTGGATGTTCCGCCTGAGAACACAGTGAAGTGGAGTGACTGTGGCACTCAGGCTACAAATGCAATTTTTAAAGAGACATCTCTTCTGGGGCGCACTGCACTATATATATATCATATTGCATTAAGTTTCTGCAGGATTCACTTTGTCTCCATGTTCCTGTGCTGTTCCATATCATAGGGTCGCTGCATCCTATATAACCCCTGCACAAGGTTTGTGCTGCAGTCACTTTTGTTCCTCTCAGGACCACCCAGCGGTTCTGCTACCCAGCACCAAGGGATGTCCGTCCACTGAGAGACAGAGTGCTCCCTTTCCCCTTTCCTTCCCTTTTTCCCCTTCCCTTCCCTTTTTCTCCTTCCCTTCCCTTTCCCCTTCCTTTTCCCCTTCCCTTCCCCTTTCCCTTTCGCTTCCCTTCCTTCTGCATAAAACTGACAGACCAAGCACAGCATCCTGCCACAAGGCCGTAACATTTTATGCTGTAAAAGATCAAAGGAAAAAGCCAGAGAACAACAACGATGGTGGGGAGGGAGGCTGCTCTTCTCATCGGCTTCTCTGAGGTCCTCAGGGCTTCAGGACTCTGCTCTTTGTGGCCTGAGAGCCCCGCAGAATCCAGGGAAGCTACGGAGCGTAGTGGGGCACAGCCAATCCAGCCCCCCCAGCAAAACCAAGAGCAGGGACGGGGAGGAGCTCGGGAATACACCTGCAGACACGAGCCATTCCTTAGCAACTGCATCCTTCAGGAACACTGGAGAAGCTCCAGTCCTGCACACATGCACTTCTTCATCTTCGCTTTGGGTGATGATGCAAAGAGAAAGGAGATTTTGCTTTCAGTGGTGCCCTCCTTATTTTGTTTCCCTGGCCTGAGCTACTCACTCCAGTGATTATTATCTAAGGGTGAGGGTGTGTAAATGGCTAGAGGTTGAAGCTCAGCCTGGAGGCATCTTTTAGATAGATTTAAGAAAACAATAAAAGAAGCAACAAGAGATATCACTACATGGATTTACTGGCTTCTGATTACAAAAATAAGTGACTCTGGTGTCCTAGTTGTTCTAAGCTCTCAGTCAGCAGAAACAGCCAAAAGTGATTTCCTCTTAAAACCAGCAAGAAACAGTACAGCCATAAACGCATTTCTGCCCATAAACCCTATGGAAATTTGCCACCTTTATCCTGGATCCCCACGATGCCCTTTACTGGCGCTTCCACGTGAAGGATGTGAATTTTTAGCTGGAGAATCACTCAAACCAGAACTTCCTATAGGAAACGTCTTCTGCCCCTTGGTTGACCTTGGGTAAATCTAACCAAAACAGCCAAGAATATTTTTCCAAAATACAGAATTCATCATGTAAAATACCCTAAAACTTCATGCCTGCATCGTCCTCAGAAAAGAAACTGCAGAATGAGAGCTGATTTGGTGTCTGTTGGACACCTGTGTTCCTTCCAAAAGGCAGGAAAAAGAAAAAAAAAAAAAAGGTTCTCATAATGTAAAACATACATCACTCTTCAGATGTGGGAATGCACCAGAGCACAATTTCCACATAGAGCAAAGAGTATGAGCATAATACAGACTATCTTTAAACCAATATTGCAGCTGACTCTTACATGTAGGGTTTCCAGGAAGGGAAAACATCTGTAGAATATTAACTGACTCAACTTAAGAAATGTTTAAAGGGCATTTGTCAAGGATTTTATGCCAAAAACACACTCAGAACTTCAGCTGGTAGAACTCGGTCTGAATTTCTGTGTGTGCTTGCATGTACATGCAGGTACATACGTACACGCAAGCACCAGTGCACCACATTTCCATGAAAACAATACTCCCTTCCAAAACAATCCATGAGCAGCAGCCACTGCTCTTCTTTCTCAGCTGCCATCTCCCCCTGCCTGTGACTTTGCACCTTCAGAATTTCCATTAGCAAACGGAGAAGTGAGAAGGGCACTAGGACTGCACCAGAATGAGTCACTGTACACTTGTTTTTTCAATGGAAGTCGTCATCAAAATACCCCCCTCCAGTGCAAATACAGAGCAAAATCCAAGTTATTGGCAAAATGAAATGACATACACCCCCGCTTGCGCCTCTGGGCTTAATTTTAGATATATAAATATTTCCATTACCTTCAGAATGATACGTGTATGCAGAGGTAAGCAAACGTTTGAGAAACAAGGCCAGGGCCATGCTGGCAATATTTTCATTCTCTTTTGGGTTATAAAAGACAGTTTTAAGAGTGCTCCACTTTAGACAAACTCAAAAGGGAATGAAACATGGAACAAAAGCAGCATTATTGAAAAAGCTTCCTAACAGTAAACACTGTTCTCCTACACAGTGATGCCAAAGAAGGCATCTACATCTACTGAGACTGTGATGGGATGAATACGGTAAGGTAGTGAATAAGTGGGAAAAAAGCAGTGCCTTATCCTATCATCTTAGCTGTTTCTATTCCTAATTTTTACACCAGTCCCTCTGTTGTGCAGCATATGGGTTTATGCAACTACATAGCTGGAAACGAACTTTTGTTTTGGACAATGTTTGAAGAACTGATCTGGATTAAACTACTTCTTAGGCGGCAGAATTAGCTTGTGAAGTTTGGAAACATCCCAATCTCCACCAATTAATAGGCCTACCAAAAAAAAATGGCTATAACTGCCATTAAACCACGGGAGTAGTTTATCTGTTAACATCCCGGTGTCCCCTGTGTCACGCACGGCCTCTACCCATGCTCTTCCCCAGGGATTGGCTTGCAGACACAGATGAAGAGAAGTCCCATGCTACCAATTTCCTTTGCTTATATAAAATACTGTCCATTGCACTAAGTAACATGCTCCCTGGGTCACTGGGGCACACAAAAATCTGGTGTGCATGAAGAGAGATGGTCACCTCTGCAAACAGGGTTGTCTGTTCCTGAAAATGCCTAAATAAACAGGCATATTGACCCATATGGGTTCACTTCCTTGCAAGATAAGATAAAAATCCAGGAAAAAAAATGACTCCTATATTTGTTTTTACAGGATGATGCTCATCTTAGAGCCTCTCCTTACAAAGTACACAATCATACTCCTCCAAGGATCAATAAGGGGCATAAGGAAGTCTGGGATCTTGAGCAGAAGTATTTTCCAACAAGCCTGGCATACTGATGTGTTGTATCACCATGGCACAGGTTCAACGGCATCTCCTACTATCTTAATGGAGAATCAGAAATGCTATTTTAACATAGTGTGTCAGATCACTAGATTTTCTTCTAGTGTTCTGAATACTGCATAAAGACAAATGAACTGAGTGTATTGTATTGCTACTGTATTACTGCATGCCTAACACGGCACCTCCCAGAAAGTTATGAAGGGCAGAAATATTTCACTTAAAGGTAGTCACTGTGGGGGAAACAAAGCACCACAGACGATCTTCATGTGCATCCCCTTCAAGGGGTGAACGACCTGCAAAAGCCACTTCAAAAGAAAAAGAGATTAAAAGAGCAAATAGGATGGAATTTTGACCATCAAAACTGCCTTTTGCTGGGATAGGAATAAAAGGCAAGAGGAAGATTTCCTAGCAGATCAGCGCAATATTGCACAATATCCTAAGTATAATACGCAGGGGCAGCTACAGCTAAATTGGCTATTACACATCAGCTCCTCTACACACTTAGATTCCTAAAATCCAAAATGGAGATAAGAGTGGCACGGTCTTCAAGACATTCACTTCAGTTTCGTTAATTTTTAATAGCTATTGCATCAGGTATGACCCTTCAGGCACTTTCCTCCAAGCGAGTGGAAGACTTTCAAAGTACAATAGCTGTGGAAGCCACCATGGGGGACACAGCAGTTGTGCTACCACTACTGCCTTTAAAAGTGTGCACCACCCACCAGGGAATGCTGTCAGGAATGGGAATTGCGGACAAGACAGAAGCTCCAGGCCCTATGGTTTGTTAATCCATCCTTTGGTCAGCAAACAAAAAGAAGGGATTCTTTGGCAGAATGGTGACGGATCAAAAGGAAGGGGCAGAAAATCCCAGGCAGGAGTGACAATGCCACTCGGGCCTAATTTTGGAAGGGCGAAGACGTTAAGGGAGTATTGTGGGAACAGCAAGAGGCTAGAAATCCTGACGGGCTTTGTTGCTATTCCTAATTCCTGGGAGGAAATGCCTGGCAGGATGGCATGAGCCTGGAACGGAGGATGCACATTCTCTTGGAGGGTTGTACTGCATGACCATTTTCCTTGCAAATTCCTTGCATGACCATTTCCTCACTCATTGTTCTCTAATAAGTCAATTAATGAGGAATTTTTTTCTTAGTACCTGGACTAAATATTCCTTTCCAATATGATTTCTAAGGTTGTAAATCCTTTCCTTCCTTCATACTCGTATTCATTCGGACCTTCTGCATATCACACTTGCAATCCTTAGTGTTTGTTTCCTTCTAGACACTTTTAATTACCAAACAAGTCTATGCAAGTGTTCCAGAATATTATCCTGAAGGGCATATCTAGCACGAAACCAGCCAGTTGTGGAAAATGCTAGCCAACTGAAAAACAAATCATTCTGTGAAATAGAAGAAAAATAATCTCAAAATTCTGAATACTGCTAGGAGCTTGGCAACTGCATGAGCTCCCAAATGTTTAGTGAAACAAATGTTGAGAGCATGAAATACTGTGTATGATATACAAGCCCCCCACAAATGTTAACTCTTTATTATATATCCAACACTGGTAAAAATCAGTTACTTCAAAAGGATTAATCAAGTAAAATGAGCAAATATTATTAAAAGATTCAGACTTATCAGGCTTACAGGTTCATAAGTCTACTATGAAGCCTCTTTTTTCTGTCTGGACAGACAGAATATCCCAGAGATTGTTCTTCCAAATGAATCTAGCCATTGTTGGTACTCACCATGTTAATACCGCAAAGACTGCTATTCTCATTACTACTTGTTTCCCTCATTCTTAGATATGTTCAACCCCAAAGAAAACCATTATTTCCCACATCAGTAGTATTTTAAACGAGGTTATGTGTCCTTTTACTAAGTCACCTGAAAGTCTCTTTCTTCACATATACTCTTCAAATACAGCATTTAAAACCAAACTGTGATCTTCCAATCCCCACCCCGGACCAAGTACTGTTGGGGCCAAGTACTATCGCAGTAACCGGTATCCCACAGAGACACTTCATCCCTATAAGGCAATTTTTTTCAGTCATTCCCCACCCTTTCCCACTTCACGTCAGTACAAACCTGGAACTTTACGATGTTGGAAACACGGCCCTAAGCTCCTCCACCCAACCTCGCTCATGCTGCCACAAAACCGCGTCCCGCGGGACACGGCGGCGGTGACCCGGCAGCGTGGGACAAGAGGCAGACGGAGCGAGGCCGGATGCCCCTTGCGGGGCAGTGCCGGGGCCCGCGCGTCCCCACTCACGTTCTCGTGGCGCATGTGCTTGAGGAGGCGCAGCTCGCGGTAGGCCCGCTTGGCGAAGAGCTCCGACTGGAACGGGCGGTACAGCTTCTTTATGGCCACTTTGGCGCCGCTCCTGCCGTCAACGGCCGAGCTTTGGGGGAAGAAAGGGGACCTCCGTTGTCACCCGTGCGCCGCAGTCATCACCTGCCCTCCTTGTCACCCTTGTCCCCCGCCGCCAGATGGAATAGGGGGGACCACCCCTTTCAAAAGCACCTGGCCAGGATTCAGCCGCCTTAGGTAAAACACCACCAGACCCCGTGACGCAAGTAGCTGCTTCCCAAAGGATTTAAATACAGGGGAAAAAACAACAACAACAACAAAACAGCCAGGTGGCCTGTACTGAGGGCTTGGGTAGCCCCCTCGGGTTTGTGTCCCCCCTGCATGGGATGCACTCAGGGAGGGGACACACTGTAGAGGGGGGACACGCACCCCGGACCAGGGGACACGCACAGCCCCAAAAGGGGAGATGTGCGCACACACACCCCGGGTCGGGAGACATGTGTACAACCCCAGAAGGGGACACACACAGACACACACACAGAGACAGGCGGAGCGGGGACACAGGGGACATGCACACCCCACAGATGGGACATGCAACAACCCCAGAAGGGGACACACACAGACAAACACACACAGCAGAAGGGGACACACACAGACACACACACAGAGACAGGCGGAGCGGGGACACAGGGGACATGCACACCCCACAGATGGGACATGCGTACAACCCCAGAAGGGGACACACACAGACACACACACACAGACAGGCGGAGTGGGGACACAGGGGACATGCACACCCTGGAGATGGGACATGCACACACTCACACACGGGCACGGAGCGGGGACACGGGGGACATGCACGCCTCGCAGGGGGGACACGCGCACACACCCCCGCGTGGGGAGAGGGGACATCCGCACCGTCAGCGGTCGCCGCTGCCCCCTCCATCAAGGAAAACACGTGCGGGGCCGGGAGGCACGTTAAATAAAACAACCACAACCACAACACGCTCCCCCCGAAAAAAAAGCCCTGCACGGGTCGGGCAAAGCACGCGGGAAAACAGTAACAACAATAAAAGAAAAAACGAAGTCGTGGGGGAACAAAGCGGAGGCGCCGGGCGCGCCCCCCGCTCCCCCGGGACGGGCCGGGGCTC